CTTGAAGGCACATAGCAACATAAGGAACACCAGTGAATACTACTATTATTCAAATTTACACACCAACCACCAAAGACAAAGACAAGGAAATTGAAGGTTTTTACTAAATTTTGCAGGCTGAAATTGACCAAACATGCAATCAAGATGTGTTGATTATCACTGGTGATTGGAATGCAAAAGTTGGAAACAAAGAAGAATCACCAGTAGTTGCAAAATATGGCCTTGGTGATGAGAATCACCCTGGCATTCGCATGATAGAATATTGCAAGACCAATGACTTATTCATTGCAAATACTTTTTTCAACAACATAAACAGTGGGTATACACATGGACTTCACCTGATGGAGTACACAGGTATCAGATTGACTACATCTGTGGAAAGAGGCAATGAAGAAGTTAAGTCAAAACAAGGTCAGGAGCTGACCGTAGAACAGACCATCAACTGCTCATATGCAAGTTCACGTTGAAGCTGAAGACAATTAAAACAAGTCCATGAGAGCCAAAATATGACCTTGATTACATCCCACCTGAATTTAGAGACCATCTAAAGAATAGATTTGATTCATTGAACACCAATGACCGAAAACCAGACAAATTGTGGGATGAAATAAAAAACATGATCCATGAAGAAGACAAAAGGTCATTAAAAAGATAAGAAAGGTAGGAAAGATCAAAATGGATGTCAGAAGAGACTGTGAAACTTGCTCGTGAACGAAGAGTAGCTAAAGCAAATGGAAGAAATGACAAGATAAAAAGAGCTGAACGGAAGATTTCAAAGAGCAGTTCAAGAAGACAGTCAATTATTATAATGAAATGTGCAAATACCTGGAGTTAGAAAACCGAAAGTGAAGAACATGCTCATCATTTCTCAAGCTGAAAGAACTGAAATAAAAATTCAAGCCTCAAGTTGCAATATTGAAAGATTCTATGGGCAAAATATTGAATGATTCAGGAAACATCAAAAGAAGATGAAAGGAATACACAGAGTCACTGTACAAAAAGAATTGGTCGATGTTCATCTATTTCAGGAGGTGGCATATGATCAAGAACCAGTGGTATTGAAGGAAGAAGTCCAAGCTACACTGAAGGAATTGGCAAAAAACGAGGCTCAAGGAATTGATGGGATACCCACTGAGATGTTTCAACAAATGGATGCTGCATTGGAGGCACTTGCTCATCTATGCTAAGAAATCTGGAAGACAGTTACCTGGCCAACAGACTGGAAGAGATCCATATTTGTACCCATTCCAAAGAAAGGTGATCCCACAGAATGTGGAAATTACAGAACAATATCATTAATATCACACGCAAGTAAAATCTTGCTGAAAAAAATTCAAAAATGGTTGTTACAGTACATTGATAGGGAGCTTCCAGAGATGCAAACTGGATACAGAAGAGGATGTGAGATGAAGGGTATCATTGCTGATGCCAGATGGATCTTGTCTGAAAGCAAAGAACACCAGGAAAATGTTTACTTTTGTTTAATTGACTATGCAAAAGCATTTGACTGTGTGGTTCATAACAAATTATGGATAACACTGAGAGGAATGGGAATTCTAGAACACTTCATTGTGCTCATGAGGAACCTGTACATAGACCAGGCTGTCATTCAAACAGCACAAGGGGTTACAGCATGGTTCAAAATCAGGAAGGGTGTGTGTCGGGTTATATACTTTCACCATACTTATTCAATCTGTATGCTAAGCAAATATCCAAGAATCTGGACTATATGAAGAATAATGCAGTATTGGGATTGGAGGAAGACTCATTAACAGCCTGCATTATGCAGACAACACAAGCTTGCTCGCTGAAGATGACTTGAAGCACTTACTGGTGAAGATTAAAGATTACAGTTTGCAGTATGGATTACACCTCATCATAAAAAAAATGAAATTCTCATAACTGGACCGGTAAGCAACATCATGGAAAATGGAGAAAAGATTGAAGTTGTCAAAGATTTCATGTTACTTGGATCCACAATAAACAGCAATGGAAGCAGCTCAAGATATCAGACGTCATATTGCACTGGGCAAATCTGTGGCAAAAGGTGTTTAAAGTGTTGAAGAGCAAAGACATCTCTTTGAAAACTAAGGTGCACCTAACCAAAGCCATGGTGTTTTCAATCACCTGATATGCATGTGAAAGCTGGACCATGAATAAGGAAGACTGAAGAAGAATTGATGCTTTTGAGTTGTGGTGTCAGTGAAGAATACTGAGAGTCGGAGCCAACTTGACAGCATTTAAGAAAAACAACAACAGACAAATGTTAAGAAATTATTATATTATGGACAAGATTGATGTATTTGAATATATAAAATATTTAAGTTTCTCTAAATACAAAATAAATTGAAAACAAACAACAAACAAGGGAAGACTACAGAGCGCCTACACACCAATTATAAAAAAGGTAAACACCAAGCAACAACAAATGGTAAAGGAATATAAAGAAATAATTTACAAAAGAAAAATTGATATAGTTAAGTAATCATATAAGTAGTCACACAGTAACAATATGTTGTTGTTGTTGTTGTTACGTGCCATCGAGTCAGACCCAACTCATAGTGACCCCTCCTTGGGTTCCTGAGGCAGTATCACTATGGAAGTAGATTGCCCAACCTTCCTTCCGAGGAGTGGCTGGTGGGTTTGAACCACCAGCCTTCTGGGTAGCAGTCAAGTGCCTTAGTCACTATGCTACCAGAACTCCTATAGTAACAATATAGATACTTAATAAAAGATAAATTATGATGGAATATTCCCAATTTTGTGTCCTGTTCTGAATGGTTTTGACACGTGGATAAGAACCCCTGCCTTATATTTGAAGTATGAAGATGTTTGGCTATTTCAAGCCAGATAGTGTTTCCTCTGGTCCTTGTTTACTATATTTTCAGGGCAAAGCCATCACTCCTTCCTCCACTCAACAGACATTTATTGAGAACCCAAGATTTCAAGTCCTCTAAGCTAGATGCTACAGGGTGTTATATTTCAAAAAGACAGCTTCTTTGTTAATCAAGGAGCTTATCATTTCCTGGATGGGAAGCACACATGGACAAAGTAACTCTGAAATTCCCTAAAGACAAGTACAAAAACACCTCGTGATGAATAAGCAAAATAACCACAATTTATTGTGAAGGACTAGAAAAGAAGAAGCAAAAAAACCTAAATAAAGAGGTAAGAATCTAAGCTTAACCTTAGAAATAAAGGATTAATCTGCAGATGCAATGGGCTTTCTTCCTTCTGAATTTTCTGTCTGTAATTTGTTATATCTACTTGCTATTATTTTCTAAGTGGTGACTTAAATGGGAACTATGTGTGCTGCTGTTCTTGTTGTTAGGTGCTAAGCCAATTTTCAATGCGTAGCAACCCCATGCTACAGATTAGAACTGTTCCACAGGGTTTTCTAGGTTGTAGTCTTTATGGAAGCAGATTGTCAGGTTTTTCTCCATGAAGCCACAAAGTGGGTTTATGTGTAGAGTATAACAATTTTTCATTTTTTGTTTCTAGGTATCGACTCATTGGTTCCTCATCTGCTACTTGTCTTCTCTCAGGCAATAATGTCATTTGGGATAAGCAGGCACCTATTTGTGAGAGTGAGTTGAAGTATTTTTCCTCTAAATCCCTCCATTTCATCCTAATTTGCACTCAGAGTTACAAAGAATAAATGTAGAATACTTCTTAATCAGAGTAGGCCCTCAGATATTTGAAAATAGGAACCATGTGTTACATAGTCCTTCTGTTTTTTCTTTATATTAAAAGGTAATTAATCTGAAACTGTGAACTTGAACTCAGTTAAAATAATCCTGTATAACTTTGATTATAGACTCTTGTAAGCATAAATATCATTTTTAGTGAGTAACTCTTGAAGACATTAGAGAAAATTTGATGTGCCTCTCTGCCAACCCTTAATATCAGATTATAATCCTTAAGAGTGGCCCAAACTCCCTTCCTTATTAGTCTTACTGAGAATAATAAAAGAGGATCTTTGTATAACTTCCAGCAATTTCCCCTATTTCATAATTCAGAATTTCCCCAATTTTTCTGGTCATTGTCAACTTTGATCTTCCTTCACAATTCTTTCAGGGTCATGCCCTTGGTTGTATTTGTTCTTCAATAGTGGACCCTCCATCTTTTGTATACAGTATTTTAAAGTAAAGCTCCAAAATGTTGAGGAACATGGACAAATGCATGATAGCAAATTTGCAAAGAGTTAAGGCTGTAAGGAAATTAGCATCATACAGAGTTGGTGGGAGTCAGAGTGGGCACAAACTTTGGAAGGCTAATAATGTACAACAGATACAAAAAAAATCATTAGTGCAAATACCTTTTCATCTGGCAATTCTACTTCCCAGAATCTTTCTCAAGAAAATAATCATGGAATTTTTCCATGATTTCTAGGATTTTTTTCCAAAGATACTCATTGTAATATTATTTATGATAATGAAAAATATCAAAGAACCTAAAAATTCAGCATGGTTTGAAAAGAAGCAATTGAAAATATAAGTTTTATTTAAAACGTCTACTTTCTTTAATAATTATGTCCACCATCTACTTATGGACAGGTGATCTTTGACAAAGGGCTAAAACTCATTAAATGGGGAAAATATGGTCTCTTTAATAAATGGCACTGGCAAAATTGGATATCCATTTGCAGAAAAATGAAACAGGACCTACATCTCACACCATATACAAAAATGAACTCAAGCTGGATCAAATGTTACTGGGGATTCTGGGACCCAGAACAGGGATCCTTGCCTTCCACTGATGAAGAATAGAACAGGAGAGGCAAAATGTCCACAGAAATCAAAGTTTATTAAAGAGAAAGGAGAGGAGAGGGGCTCACGAGGGAGAGACGATGCCTATGCTAGCCTCCAAACTCTCACAGAACAAAGGATTTCTTAGGGTTTATAAAGACTTTTAGGGAGGAAAAAGGCATCATCTTTACTCATAAAATGGGCAGGAATTTCCAAGAAAAAGGCACAGTGATGAAAATCAGGTGTGTACACAGGAAGTAGCCAACATGGATTCAACACAAAGGCTGTCGGAACAAAGATGGAACCCATCACAAAGACTGCTGGAATGCTTGACACGACTTATTCTGGATGTTGCACATGCATAATGTCTCTGGACCTTGGTTCAAATCCCGGTGAGGGATCCCTGTTCTTGACTGCCTCTGGTAGAAGGCCACTTTATCCAAACCAAACCAAACTCACTGCCATCGAGTCAATCCTGACTCATAGTGACCCCTCCTTGGGTTTCCGAAGTGGTATCTTTATGGAAGTAGATTGCCCCATCTTCCTTCCAAGGAGTGGCTGGTGAGTTTGAACAACCACCAGCCTTCTGGTTAGCCGTTGGTTGCTATGCATTGAAAATTGTCTTGGCACCTAACAACAAGAATAGCAGCACAAATATTTCCCATTTAAGTCACCACTTAGAAAATAATAGCAGGTAGATATAACAAATTACAGACAGAAAATTCAGAAGGAAGAAAGACCATCTGCATCTGCAGATTAATCCTTTATTTCTAAGGTTAAGCTTAGATTCTGGTTAGCCTTAGGCACTAAGGCATCTCATTGAATTTTACTGCCCACTTCTGCACCTGATAAGGACAACTTGAAGGACAACTCAGGAGGTTGATCAACATTTTACAACTGGTTAAGCTTGTGGAGTTTGTAAAATGTAATTTTATCTTGCATAAGGGCCTGGTTTGTAATTGCCAGTAATTCTCTGTCACCAGCAGCAAGGGAACTGAGTTAAAGGCTGCTTGATTCAGCAAGCCTGATTCCTTTCCTGTCTTACAAAGACCTGGATGAAAAAACTAAAACTACAAAGACAATTAAAAAAAAGGGGGAGGTGAACTTAAGGACCCTAATTCAGGGCATAAATACACTACTGAATATAACTTAAAATTCACAAACAACGAAAGACAAAACAGATGACTGGGACCTCCTAAAAATTATACACTTGTGCACGTTAAAGGATTTCACCAGAAGAGTACAAAAAGAACCCACCAAATGGCAAATAATTTTTGGCAATGCCATATTGGACAAAGGGCTAATCTCTAAAATTTGTAGGAAACGTCAATGACTTAACAACAAAAAGGCAAATAATCCAACTGAAAAATAGGCAAAGGACATGACCAGACACTTCACCAAAGAAAACATTCAGGAGCCAAAAATGGAGTCTTGCCAGTGAGCAACACGCTTTTTTTTCCCTCTGGCATCTAAGAACTTTGAAAACTAAGTACAACAGTTTGAATTAGGAAGTTTGGTGCTCTGAACAGCTCACTGAATCAGAGTGCACCAAACACAGAGAACAGAATTAGAGGAAAGGCACAGGGAGATTATTTAGGAAAGAGCTACTGGCGGAGAGTGGATGGGCACCTGATAAAGATCATTGGAGGCTTTCCTGGGGCAGTCACTGTCTGCTGGGTGAGGGTGGCCACCTGAGATCCCCGAGCCAAGAAGGAAGTCACCTTATAGCAGCATACCAGCGACCACTACAATATTCCAGTGGGCAGCAGCAGAAACCTGCCTCCAGCAGCTTATTTTATTGGTAATTTGGGTCGTCTGGGTGCAGGCGGGCACAGGCACCGCTGCTGAGATTCAGGCAGAGATCTCACTGTTGTGCCAGAAAGGCTAGCTCCCTCCCCTCCCAGCGGATCACAGAGTGGGCTTGGGTCAGACTGGGAGACACCGTGCTTTTCCTTGCCACGGATATTGGGACCGCAGGTCACGAGCAGGTGCTTCCCCGAATCCAACACAGCTGAAATTGCGTGCATCTTTGCCACCACAGGTGGGCGGTATCACAGACAAACTCCAGAGCCGGCCATTACTGGTCTGGTGGGACTGCATCAACACTGTGGGCAGACGGGGCATGGAGAGCAAAGAAACCGCACCTGAGTGCGGTCCCGCAAATTTTGCCTTGGAGCCGTGCTTTGGTGCTGTGGGGCCCCAGAGGCGGGGTCTTTGAGTGTGCCTGAAATTGGTGGAAATTTGCGACCCTCTAACAATACGAATCTTTCCTGAGGTTGAGCCGCGGTCTTGCAAATAAATACATCATCAATAATAGCCTGCTCAAAGCCCTAGAAACCGACCCTAGCAACACTAAGCTTTCCTTCTTCTCCTCCCACCTTCTCCACCAATAACTTCACTCATTCAATAGAAGAAACCATATTCAGCCAATTACCATAAAACCTCCCACTTTGAACTCTAAACCCTCTTTACAAAAAACAGAAACACATATCCACACTATACACAGTGATTCCACCATCACAAAGAAAACAGCAGAGCACACCTGAATCAATAATAAAATAAAACACACCAGCTTCACCTTTTCAAAATATTAAACCATAAAACCAAGACAAAACAAATCAAAACGTAACCAGCAGCTAGAGACAACCTAAAAACACAGTGCTCTACCAGATTCCAAGGGTTTAAGAAGAGGTTCTGCTTTCTAGTAACCCCAAGAACTCTCTGGACCTGCATTACATGACTGAAAAGGTCCTAGTTTACATCTTCTTTTTATTTATTTTATTTTATTTTATTTATTTTTTCTTTTTTTTTATTTTCTTGTTTTCTCTCGTCTTTAACCCCGTTCCTTGTTGGTGTTTTTTTGTTGTTGTTGTTTTTTTTCCCCTGTTTGTTAGTTTGTTTTCTTTCTGCATTCTCTTTCTCTACCTTTTTTCTCTTAGTGACCTATCTCCAGATATTGCATATTTACCTGTTTTATTCTTCTTTCCTCCACTTTTTCTGTTCTTGGGTTACTCTTCCTGTGTGCTTTCAGGGTGTATTTTTTGTCCATGTGCTTTTAGTTTTTTCAATAGTTATTCAATTATAATTTTTGTCTAACTGAGTGGGAAACAGCAACAGTCCCCATAAGATACAAGTACACCCACATGGCCTGCAACTTCACTTACTGAGCCAGAGCCAGCATCTCCTTCTCCAGCAATGGGCCAATGATAAAATCCACCAAGAAGAGCCTGAATCACCCTTGGCTGCTCTTCACA